GGGATCTGGCGACAAGAAGGATCAGGAACTTGTTTTCACATGAAGATCAAAACAACACAAGAAGAAAAAAGCACAACATAGCCCAAAGTGACCCAGAACGTCAAAACTGCAACAACACAAAGTTCAGCCCAAAAATGCAGCCTGTGAGAGCTGTTACTGCTTGGCTTGTTTGTCCCCGCCGCGGGTGGCAGGAGGGGAGAGCACGGCTTCGGCTTGGGTCAGGTATTCCATGCTCAGCCCTGTGATCCTGTGCCTTGTCCCCTGCCATGCTGAATGGCTCTCCAGCGGAGCACCCCAAAGCTTAACTCAGTCCCCTCCAGGCACACCCAGTCCCACAAACCACATCCAGGCAGTGCAACACCATCTCTGCTCCCTAGTTAAGCATGGAAATAATGCAAAACCCTGCAGAGAAAAAAACACAGTGATTCCACCATGGACTAATTGAATGCAAACAAACGCTTGATTTATCCTGTTACATGCTGCACCACTCACAGACAGGATCTGCCCCACCAAGCAGCACTGACCGAGGCTGACAGTCCGACACAGCCCTGTGGCCACATTTGGCTGTGGCTGTTCCCTCCGTCCCCGTCCTTTAAGCTCTAACAATTGGATATGATTAACTGGGGCTGGATTTACCATTCTGGGCACCAAAATCCTGCAAGGACACCCAAAGCAGGCACAGGAGGCCTCCACTCTCTAAACACAGTGCCACCCTATGGAGACAAGATCTCAGCATCTGTGTTCCTCTATTTCCAGCTCTCCCTGCCAAGAGGGCAAACCAGAAGGAGAGTCAACACTTCTGCCACGGACAGGGAGATGTCTTTTTCCAGCCCAAGAACAGTGATGACTGCTGCAGTTTGAGCAACCTCATGCTCTGAGCTGGCTTAGGCTTTCAGGAAGCGATCGGTGGTGATTAATGACCATCAATCCCCTGCTGGTGAACTTCTGTCTTCACCCTTATTCCATCTGGATGTACATGCAGCAAGAACATCTGCTCCAGATCTTTGCAGCTCAGCCTTTGTCTAAGAGTGCTGCTGATCATGTCTTAGGAGGTTCAATAGGGGAAGTAGGTTTCCAGTAGGGAAGGAAAAGACATACAGAGCTCTTAAGCTTTTTTATCTTTCTCCAAGAACTTTTCCATTAGGATTAGCAAATCTATCCAAGCCATTTCTGATGCTCAAACTGAGCTCAGCTGAGAAGCCATTAAAGCACCCTGAGTTGATTATCTCATTTACCCTGGATTAAAACAAAACCTGAGGAACAATGCAGGCTGAACCAAACCAATTTCTTTAAGCACAAGACTGGAAATATCTGTGTCCCTGAAACCCACCTGTAGTCCATGAGTAGGAAGGGCTGGGCCACCCCTCGATGAGTGGCTCCCACCACTAGTTCCCACCACAGTTGGCCCTGGCTTATGAACCAAGGGTCTGAAGAGCAAGTGACCACGTGGCTGTCCTCATGCTTGTAAGCCCAGGTCACCAACAGATTTGTCCATTCAGCCTTCCCTGAGGGAAGTGGAAGGTGCACTGACACTCCAGGCACCTAGAACCTCATTGCTGCACAAACTCGACCCCAACTCTCTGCAACATTCACAGCCAAAACCTCTAAGCCCCAATATGTAAACAGATGCTCCAGAATGCAATCACAGCACCTCAGCATGCATGGCTGGGCAAACATGACTCTAGCAGATGTACTATAGTCCAGGTATGGATTTTGGCACTGATGACCAGGAATTTGGCTCTGGAAGCCTTGTGATGGGGTGTGAGAGCAGTAAACAAACCACAGTGACACTGTACACTTTGCTTACACTGACCTACAAGTTTCAGATTAAGTGTTCCTGCAGGAATTAATGCAGGGAGACCACTTCCCCCTAGATTTTCTCCCAAAGACCAACCTGAGTTGAAGACAAGACATGGCAGCCACCTGCTGCCCACTCCCTGCTGCCCATGGAGAAGGGGCTGTACCTGTACACTGGTTGCATTTCCCTGGCAATCCCAATGACTGCTCCCTCTGGGAAGTTCTCAAACTCATCAAACAGGTCTCGGATGTTGGTCTTGTACTTCAGGTCCAAGTCTACCTGGATGATCTGTGTTATTTCTGAAAGCACAAAGAGGAAAAGTCAGCTATATAAGACAAAACTGTAACCCATGATTACCAATGGCTACTTGACAAACTGCATCCAATGAGGATTTGGTGCAGTTGGTTCCATAGGCAAGACTTGGCCAACTCAGGGCAAACAATCCGGCTCCAAACTCTGCATAAAGCTTCAACCATCATGACAGTATTTACCACTGTGTATTTAGGCATGATTTCCTTCAGAAATCACTTCTGCTGACCCTCTGCTTCTATCCACTCCCTCCTTCCCTCCTTGAGATTGTTTTTCCATATGATTGACAAAAGCAATAGGTAGCTTCAACCCAGTCTCTCTCTTTCTGGAAGTGTTTCTGCAGAAACACCCACACAAATCCCCATGCTCACCTTCTGTTACCTACTACTGGGAAAACCTACCAACTCCATGAGTGTTTTGCACCTCCAACCCAGAGAGCATCCATCTGTGGCTCAATGTATCAGAGCAATTTCAATCATGAACTACATCAGTCAGCCACATGACTCTTCCAGTATCACCTACACAAGCCCATTAGCTCCCAGCAGCTTGCCACAAGCTTCCCCAAGGACAGATATTACAGGACCCTGCCTACACAGAACTGCTGGTGGTCTGCAGCACCCTGGAAGACTAAATGATTGCTGGTGGTACTCTATCAGAGAGAAGGAGAGTTGTGCAGACAAGGAAGCATCTTCCACTTGCAGTGGGAAATCAAGAGTGCAGAGGCAGAAGGACATCTTTCTCAAATTTGTCACAGTCTCCTTTGCAGCACACAAGACTGATGGACGGAGATGTTGCTTGGGAGAAGATGCAGGAGATGTGCCTCAAGACTGCTTCTCCCAGGCGGATCTGGAGGTGCTGTATGGATGGCAGCAGGACAAATGCAATGCAGCAAACGCAAACACTATGGGAGATGAGACCATCAGATGTGTTTCTCCAGCCGTGGGCAAAACCCCTGCCATCTTCTGGCCAGCCCAGCTCAGCCCTTCTCAGGGACCACAAGTGGAGAGGAGCCATCCCCCATGGTGTTATGTAATGCCATCGCTATTTATACATGCTATAAAAGCCAAGAGCAAATTGGTCAGGTTGCTTAGCACTTGGCACTAATTGGATTGTAAAGACTATGTCAACCTGTTTTGTCCCCACTCATCATGCACAGGTGCTGTTACAGCTCCCTGCAGGCCAGACCTGCACGTCACCACTGCTTCCACAGCAATTAGCAAACCTCATCCTTCCTCCTGCCCAGTACCTGCAGGCAGGAGGACAAGCCCTGCCTGCCCTCATCTTCTGCTGCTTCATCTGCCGTGCCTACCGGCAGAACTTCCCATCAGGCTGGCATTGCTGGGGCACTGCCTATGCTCCAGCCTTCCCACCACCACGGTTCCGCACCCCCTCACCCTGCCACGCTCAGGACAGGCTGCTGACTACCCCTAGACTGCTGAGAGCAGGAGGCAATCGCTCTGTTTTCAGCCCCCAAAGTCACCATCAGGACTAGAGACCCAGGCCCCAGCAGCTATCCCCTGGCATGGAAGTGCAGCTTTGCCATTTCAAACATATTCATCACTTGGTGTTTGCGTTTCAAGCAAATGCTGGGCTGTAGAGCAGCTCTCAATTTTTTGCAGATTTTGCACTAATCCAGGACTCTTGGCAATTGGTCATACCTACCACACTGTCTTCATTTAAGAATGAAAAGTCCTTGTGAGGTTAAGCAAGAAATATACTGCTTACTCTGCGAAGTATCCAAGCAGAAATATAAATCAAGGAGAAATAGTATCTAAGCTACAACCCAGGCTGTATCTCAATTTATTTTTTTAACATCCATCACATTCTATCTGCTAAAGGGAAAGGCCACACTCCCCTCAGCCAGCAGTACGGCAATCCTCAAGCCTACCTAGTATTTACCATCACCATAATCCTCTGTTTGCAAAGATTTAAAACCCAGGAGCAGTAATTCACCACAGGCTAAAGTAGGTCTTGACCTGAAAGCAATTTCCCCCAGCCTTCCAAACTGCCTTAGAAACAGCTAGTGCAACTCAAGCGTGTGAATAAGCAGAGCAGCTGATTTCTTCAATGAAGAACACGACATGTATTCCAAATACACCAAACCTTCCCAAAGCTACTGCACTTGAGAATATCCAGACTGGTCACAAAACTCTAGGAGAAAGAGACCTCAGACCTACAGCACAAGCTCAGCCACAGAGAAATGTGGTGGGAGCCTGAGCCCTCCAAGGCACTGTCGAGGCTGGGAAGAGGGATGGGATTCCCGGGGGGATCCCAGCACGACTCACCCCGTTGCACAGCAGCATTCTGACGCCTCATCACGTTTCAATTAAATCAACTTCGAGGCACGTCATCCAATTGTTCTCTAAAATTACAGATGAATGCCAGCTGCAATTTAATCACAGCGCAGAATGAAAGCTGAGCTTGGAGGAAGCTCCAATCCCAGCTCTGCCCACCCCAGCACCCCAATGTGTGACAGGCTCCAGGGGGTCCCTGTGCAGCCCAGAGGATGCTGCCCAGCAGCAGCCACCAGCCGTCCCTGGAAGCCTCAGCTGAGCAGGGCACGAGCACAGCTGTGGTGCTGGATGGCAATGCCAGAGCCACAACAAGCCCAGCACCGAGACATACGGTTTGTTTACACAAACACACTGGGTACTCCATCCTGCCCTTCATTAGAGGCTCCCTGGGTCTGGCTTGCCCCCATGCACTGGTCTCATGCTGTGCCTGCAGAGCCCCCCAGGAACCACTCACTAAGAAATTATACTCGGAAGGCACCAAGTACTTTTCCTTTTTTTATTTTTAAAGGCGTCATGAACTGCAACTCTGACACAACTGAGCACGGGTGCCATTAAGCGACACTTTGCCAGATGCAGCTTGCATGGATAGATTAATAGTTGAGATGATTTCTCTGCCTGGGACTGGCAAGGGGCCAGGCACTAATATTTATGATGTATCATGCTCTTTTGCCCTTCCATCAAGTGCTTTGTCCTGGCTGCCATGTAGGGGTGGAAGAATCGTGTGCTCTCTTAGGCACAAACTGCTCGGGGGGGATCCAGCTGGAAATGTGGGAAAAGGCTGAAAGTGTTCTGCTCAGCAGTGAGTTTTCTAACTTTGCCATACTGTGTATCACCCTCCACTCTGTTCAGCTCTGGCTCTTCCAGCCACAGCAGAGAGGGGAGCTGTGCCACTCACAGCAGAGACGGTCTCCATTAGCAGTGACAGCTTTACAGCACAGGCTGGCCCCATTTAAAGCTCATAATGTTTTACTGCAGCTTCATACCAGCAGCCACAGCAGGGCTGTACTCCAGGCTTGGCTCAAATCCTCCCTCCAGCCATGTCCAGCAGAGAAACGCCAACTTCGGGGATGAATGAATTGTTCAGATCAGCCTATGGACTGGCAGCCTTGAACCTGCCTGTAGGCTGAGATTACTTTCCCCTAGCCTAAGTTGAGAAGATGGACTGCAAGACATGTAAATAGTGGATTTAGAACTACAGGACAGCGGATGAAGGGTCATGTGAAGAGGAGATGCAAAAGCAGGAGCCTGCACGGAGCAGCACAGGCTGTTCTGCAGCCAAACTCATTTAAGCTAATCCAAACAACTTTCTCTGTACAAGTGTCACTACCCTGGCAAAGCTGAACCCATACAGCAGGTGCAGGGCTGGAGTGTAAGTCCTGGCCTTGGCTCCAAACCCTCTACTTCCATACAAGCCACACCAGATGTGAGGCACAGGCATGCCACCACTGGCAGCAGAGAGGGGAAAAGTGTGAAAATAGTTACCTGCATTCAGGAGCAAACAAACAAATGGAGAGCTGCTATCACAGCACGAAAGGCAGAAGCAACAACCAAACTGCTTAATTGCTTATGAGTGAGCAATGGTTAAAGAGTTGCAGAGCAGAAGCAAGAATGGAAACCTCCTGGAGGTGGTGTAACTCTCCAGCCCATGGATAGGCTCATGTTGGCATAAGCTCAGCCCCCTCCCCAGAGTACAAAATCCTGCCTGCAGCTGGTCTGGCAGTGGAGATGCTGCAAGCAACAGTGGGATGGCAGGAGGGGATAGGCTACCACCCTGCCAGGCCGCACTGTGCCCAAACCTCACTCACACTCCTGAGGCAAACACCTGTCACCAAGGCTGGTGGTAATTTGGCTCTGCTCCCTCCATCCTCTGCACCAGTGTCTTCACCTGTCTCAACAAACCTGGTTTTAAGGACTTAAGCATTCCAATGCTCCATGCCAACAAGGAACACAGACTCATAGAATTGTCTAGACTGGAAAAGACGTTTAAGATCATTGGAGTCCAACTGTTAACTGTAATCCAACTGCCACGTTTCAGATGGGAACACCTTCACCTCCCTCCAGCTCCTCTGCATCACAGCAGTGACTTTTGGGGTCACAGGCACAGCACGTTTTCCTTTCCCATGGAGCCAGCAGCAGCCAATCCAGCAACACATAGAAGCAGGATCCCTTCTTCCTTCTGGAGGTAGCATGGGGGGCAATGGCCAGGCAATGGCCTGGTGAGGGCAGGGTGATGGGCAGGGGCAGAGCTGCTGCAGGCAGAGCAGCTCAGAGACCCTGCTGCAGGGCCAGCAGCAGATGCAGCCAGCATGGGTGACACAGTGCAGCCAAGGGACCGGAGTGTCCCCTGCTGGCTGCAGCTCTGGGTGTTGCAGGGCTGCATCAGGTTCTGGGATAGGGCCAGGAGGTGACTGTGCATTTTGCCACTTGACTTGGACCATCAGAAGGAAGAGGACCAGACGGCCCAGGCGTTTCAAGTTGGGGACAGAAGGGTTGGAGGGCTCAGGTGTGCTGGTGTGCAAACGATGGGCACACCTGGACAGCTTCCCCTCCACCTGTGTCCATTGCTTTGAGTTTGGCTCTGACTACCCATGATTTTTCAGTAAGAAGGGTTTTTTAGCTATCCCCACCATGACAAGACAAGATCCCAAGGAAAGAAGAAGCTGTGAAGGATCAGCAGTAACTTCCAGACAGCTGCC